TACAAACAGAACTGTCTATCCATACTGAGCCTGGCTATAAATAACAGTTCAACAAATATTATTTAACTGTATCATCTAACAAACTGCCTACCTGCTGGGTTTCTTATTTTCACAGGCAAAATACAGAATTATGTACCAGTCCTGAAGAGCCATCCTATAGTCAAAGCCCCTAAAGCACTGAAGTGAAAGTTAGGGGAAGTGAGTAATCTACCTCCTAACCACTGAACTGGTGTGACCCCCACCATACACACTTCCAGCCTTTTTCCCGAGTCCAGGAATTGTCAAGAGCTTGCTCCTGAGCCCCGATGGCAGCCTGCCTCAGTGCTGCTGCAGCTTCTACTTCCAAGGGAAACCTGCTGTCTCCTCTTGTCTGTGGAAGTTGATGCCCTTCCACAAGTCTTTCTGGTCTTGTCCTTTTATGTGGAAAGCACTGCTGTGGTCATTGTTTTTAAAACAGCCAGTGTCTCCAAACTCCTGAACCTGCTCTTGGAAGGACCTTGCCACTGAATCCTCCTGAGTCCGGCACTGTCATCAGCGTGGGCCCTGGGGTTCTAGTTGCCAGTCTGTCTGTCCTGCAGGCTGCTCGTTTTGTAGTGCTGTAAGTCAGTTTCCACCCAGATGCTTGGCCCTGTCTTGGTGCCATCCTGACCATTTCCCCTTCACCACATCACACTGTAGCCACCAAAGGAAAATCTTTGACTTTGGTTTTTGTCTTCTACCTCACTGTGGTAGTTGAAAGTTTGTTCATCCAAATGTTTTTTATTGTTTCAAATAATTTTCTTTGCTGTCTTCAGTGGTCATTTCCTCAAGCATGAGTGCTTAGGGGGTACACGTCTCATCAGAAACCAGCATATTTGGCACTTCTGGTAGAAAAGGCTTACTGTCAGACTAGAGCCAGCCACACCACACCGCAGAACCAGGATTACTTCGTTTTCAGTTACAGTATACAGTATACTTCTGAATCAGTTTCAGGTTTTGTTTAGAGATGGAGATGCTTTAGATACATTCAGGTATTGGTTGACTAAATACAAAGCTTCAGTGCTGCCTTCTGAGAATCAGGCAAGCACCAAGCGGGCTCAGTAGATATTTAAAAAAATGAGAGTACATGAAGTTGGGAAGGAAAATTAGTGGAAGGATACGGGAGGAGTTGTAGGGGAGGAAAGGGGAATGGTTGATCCAGACACATTATATGAATGATAAATTATAATCTGATTGGCCTGCTCGTTGATCACCACCTCTACTTACCAGGCCACAGTAGAGGACAATGCAGCCACTTTTGATGAGAACTGATAGACTAAGATCAGAAAGGAGAGGAGAACCTCCCCTATCAGTGGACTTGGGGCATGCATGCAGAAAGGGGAGGGAGGGTGGGATCGGGAGGGGCTTATGGGGGGATACAAAATGAATAAAGTGTAATTAATAAAAAATTAAAAATATATTAAAATAAATAAATAAATAAAAGTATCTTAAAGAGAAAGACTTGATTGTTGGTTAAAAGAAACTTAGATATTAGCATTATAAAGGACTAAAGAGGAATTGGGAGTCTTTCTAGTGGAGTCTGTTTCTAATTCTTCCTTGATAATATTATTTGAACATTTTTTTCCATTTCTTGCAAAGATCAGAAAATACTACTAAAGCACTAAAAGGCTTAAAAGTTATTTTTTTAATTTTTAAAAATTTTATTATTATTTATTATAGTTTATTCACTTTGTATCCAGGCTGTAGTCCCCTCCCTCATCTCCTCACAGTCCCACCCTTCCTCCCTCTTCTCCCTCTATGCACTTCCCCTAGTCCACTAATAGGAGTACAAGTGACTTTTAAAATGTAATAAACACGCGCATGTAATAAGAATATGAATATAGTAACATGTATAGTTTTTGTTTTCTAGCTAGTGTTACTTTTCTGATTGCTACTCTATTAAAGTGTTCATTTACATAGTTGCGTTTATAAGAAAAATGTGTGAATTTGGTTAGCTAAGTTGGAGGAGATTGAGAGTAGATGTGGACCAGATAGCTAGGGCCAGAGGGTATGTAGAGCTCTTTAACAGTCCCTGACATTTGTGCAGGCATCATTTTCTCTTGTATTCTCGTGACTGGCTCTCACTAATGTTGCCCAGGCAGGCCTCGAACTGGTGACCTTCCCACCTTAGACATCTGACTGGCTTAGCATGGATAATGGCGAGCACCACCGCAGCCAGTTTCCTGCACACATATTTAAGTTGCAGTTTTACTGCAGAGCATTTCCATCACTCCCAAAAGAAAATTGCCAGTTAGCAGTCAGCCCCTTTCCCTGGCCCTGGGCCCTGAAAGCCACTCGTCTACTCACAGATTCGCCTTCAGGGGCATTTTATATACGTAAGATCATGCTGCGTGCAGTCATTTCTCTTTGGCTTCTTTTTCTGAGTATGATGCATTCTGAGGTTTATGTTGTGCCATGTCAGCTCTTCATTTTTGCTTTATTGTGGCTGAATTGCATTTAAAAAAAAAATCTATTCGCTTAATGGACTTTGGGGTGGTTTCCATTTTATGTCTGTATGAATAGTGGTTTTGTGAACATTTGTGTGTGGTTGTTTACCCGTATAAACATTTTATTTCATTCATATGTATACAGAAGAACTGGAATTCTTAGGTGAGCCAATCTGTCCATGTTTAGCTCTTTGAGAATTGCTCAAGTGGGTGTGACTTGTTAGCAGTTGTGCTGCTGGGGTGTTTGAGATTTTACAGCTTGTCCACAACATTCACTACCATTTGGGAGTGGATCTCGCGTGTGTGCGCGTGTGCGTGTGTGTTTAGGCAGAGTTGGTGTTGAGTGTCTTCAGTATCCCTTTGTGCCATATTATATTTTTGGGGACAGGGTCTCTTTGAACCTGGAACTTGCTGTCTTGCTAGACTGACTGGTCTGCAAGCCCCAGAGTCTGCCTGTCTTTTTAGTCCCAGTGCTGGGATTCAAGACAGGGTTTCTCTGTGTAGCCTTGGCTGGCCTGGGATTCGCTCTGTAGACCAGACTGGCTTTGAACTCACAAAGATCTGCCTGCCTCTGCCTCCCAAGTGCTGGGATTAAAATTGTACACCACCATTGCCCAGCTGTCTTTTTCTTTTTAAGTCATTCCAATAAGTGTAATTTCTGATTGGCATTGTATAATGACTGCAGAATGTGAACATTTTTTCCCACATTGGTCCTTTGTATTTAGGATGTTCTTTTGAGAAATGTCTGTTCAGATCCATTGATCAGTCTTTAATTGGGTTCTTTTTTTTGTTACTTACTCAAAAGGATTCTTTATATATTCTGAGTAAAAATTTATTATGATTTGTAAATCTCATTCTGTAGGGTTTTCTTCATTTTTCAGGAACTTTAGCTTCTCATATAACTTGGCATTCATTTTGATTATCAGTGTTTTTACATCGTTTATTAAATCTTTAAATTGTAATCTTGGCTTTAGAAAAGCTGATGTGCACTGAAATAGCTAGTAAAGCAAGAGAATGATGGCTATTAGAGTTAGTGTCCATAGCACATGAAGATGGACAGTAGAAGACAGAGAGGTTAAGGACCATTTTAAGATCTTTTGGCATTATAAAGTGAATACATAAAAATCTTTTGGCATCAAGAGCTTCCTGAACTCCCTGATCCAGGCTAACAAGTAATAACATGACAAAGGATTCTTTTTTTGGTTAACAGAATACCAAATTAAACTCATCTTCATTATTAACAGTAAACTTCATATTTGTTCTTGTCTCAATTTATAATTTAAATATTTTATAAATGAAAAATGTCTGTGTGCATATGCCCGTGTGTGTGTGTGTATGTATGTGTGTGTTTGTATGTTGGAGGCTAGATGCCAAAGGTTAAACTCAAGTGTTGTTCCTCACAAACAACACTTGTTAGTCCATCTTGTTTTGGAGACAAAGTCTCTCACTTAGGGCTTGTAGATTAGTTTTGGTTGGCAGGCCACAGGCCCAGAGATTTTGTTGTTGTTGTTGTTGTTGTTGTATCAGGTTTACAAGTGCACTACCATGCCTTGCTTTTGCTGTGGGTGTTGGTTCAAAAATCAGGTTCTTATGGCTTTCATAGAATGTACCTTACTGGGCCAGGCATAGTGGCGTATGCTTTTAATCTCAGCACTTGGGAGGCAGAGACAGGTGGGTCTCTTGAGTTTGAGGCCAGCGTGGTCTACAAAGTGAGTTCAGGACAGCCAGGGTTTCACAGAGAAACCGTGTCAAAAAAAAAAAAAAAAAAAAAGTACTTTACTGACTAAGCTGTTCCTCTTGCATGGCAAATTAAATTTAAAACCAAGCAATTAATGTTACTGAATATTGATCAGAGCTTTGAAACATATTTTTGGTTTTGTTTGTTTGAGAAAGAGATGTTGTAGGACTGGAGTTTTTCCATCCAAGAAGCTGAAATCGTCTGCTCTGCTTCATGTAAAACATTTTCAGATATTGTTATTACTTACACTGGGAAGATGGCCTCAGTTAGGCTCTGAGAAACCTGTGAGGAAAAACATAGTTCTGTGTCAGGGCGTAGCTCAGTCGGTAGAGTACTGTGCCCAGTTTGCTTGAAGCCGTGTCTTCAATCCCCAGCACGGCATTAACCAGACAGTGTCAGACAGCTGTAATTTCAGCACTTGAAAGTGGGGAGGTGACGGTGGGGGGAGAGGAAGGTGACAGGTTTAAAGTCATACTCGGCTACACAGAGTCCCGGGTGTCAGCCTGGGGTCCAGGGTCTCATGTCTGAAAGAGACAGGCTGGGGGTCATGGGTGGTAACAGTGCTCAGCTGTTTAAGAGCCCTTTGTAGATTGGAGGGTTGGACAGGCTGCCGCACTGATGCTTCCTCTTACCCCAGGTACTGCTGAGAATGGCTTGTACACTAAGTGTAAGTCTGAAGTCAGTAAAGCCCACACTCCTAAGGCTTTAAGTATATGCCGATCTGTAGACAATGCAGTGTTTTCTATGTGAAACTGAAGAGTCATAAACCCTTTTGCACATTTCTTTTCTCCTTACAGGCCTCAGGAGTTCAGGTTGCAGATGAAGTATGTCGTATTTTCTACGACATGAAAGTTCGGAAATGTTCCACACCAGAAGAAATCAAAAAAAGAAAGAAGGCTGTCATTTTTTGTCTCAGTGCAGACAAAAAGTGCATAGTTGTGGAAGAAGGCAAAGAGATCTTGGTTGGAGATGTTGGTGATACCATAACTGATCCTTTCAAGCATTTTGTGGGCATGCTCCCTGAGAAAGATTGCCGCTACGCTTTGTATGATGCAAGCTTTGAAACCAAGGAGTCCAGAAAAGAGGAGCTCATGTTCTTCTTGTGGTGAGCCCCTGTGGAGTGAGAGCTAGTCTCCCACCCATTCTCGGGGAGCCCTGTGGGGACCAGGGCAGGACTGGTGACGTGGGGGTGGAGCCCGGGGCCACACGCATGTTAGGCCAGGGCTCCAGCACTGCACCCCAGACCCTAAAGATAGTTTGTATGAAGCTATTGGCCCTCACTGTCAGTGTTTGCAGCCTTCTATCGAGTCCACGCTGTGCTGAGAGTTTAGCCACACTGTCTGCTTACAAGAACACCACTTGAGGAAGTTTATTTTGTGGATTCTTAGAACTCACTGTTTCTAAATCAAAATTCCCTGTTTCTACCAAATGTTCCTACTGGTAAACCACAGCCCTTCCTCAGCCTGTCATGCTGAGCATCAGCCTGTGCTCCTGGGCACGCATTCTCCACTTAAGTATTTGTGGTGTGTTTTCTTCTGAGGAAGTTGATGCCATTCCTTCCTCCGGTAGTTTGCTATGTTTGTAGTATCTAGTTAGCCTACATACTTACTACATGCTCTGCTTCATGTAAAACATTTTCAGATATTGTTATCACTCAGACTGGGAAGATGGCCTCAGTTAGGCTCTGAGAAACCTGTGAGGAAAAACATAGTTCTGCGTCAGGGCGTAGCTCAGTCGGTAGAGTACTGTGTCCAGCTTGCTTGAAGCCTTGTTTTCAATCCCCAGCACGGCATTAACCAGACAGTGTCAGACAGCTGTAATCTCAGCACTTGAAAGTGGGGGGAGAGGAAGGTGACAGGTTTAAAGTCATACTCGGCTACACAGAGTCCCGGGTGTCATCCTGGGGTCCAGGGTCTCATGCCTCAAAGAGACAGGCTGGGGGTGAAGACAACATAAATTAATTTTGAGTTTAAATTTTAATTAGCTAAAAAGATGCCTTTATATTTTGAGACAGGATCTCACTCTATAGCCCTGCTGGTCTGGAACTCAACTGTAGCCCTTCCCAGTGCTGGAAGTACAGGCATGGTCTACCCTGCCCAGCTGAGATCCATTGTGAATAGATTTCACAATGAATATCTGTTTCCGATGTGTGGCCTCACATTACAGACAGAAACAGTGTTTCCTTGTTGCAAAAAAATCAGCTGAACAATATTCTCTGGTTAGCATTATAAGCTGATTTATGTGGCCTTTTCTGGTTGTTCTAGTCTTCAAATATTTGACATGAAGACTTAGACAAAAGTCTTTTAATTCCAGCACTTGGGAGAGGGAGGAGGATCTCTGATCTCCTGTGATCTTCCTGACCAGGCAGGGCATAAGAGGTAGAGACTGTAGGCCAAAAAGCATGGAGATTTGAAGGAAGGTAATGGTAGATCACCCCCACTTCTATTCCACGAAGGCTGTGCCGTACTCTGTTTAGCACGCTAATGTGAGGGCTGCAAGCGTAAGGCCGAGTGCTTGTGTAGGGACAAACAGCGCCATCTGTGGAGGAGGGTACATAAAGGTAGCTGTTGAGTGGCTGTAGAGAGAGCACAGTGGTAAAAGCACTGTGCTCCTGTGGAGGACCGTGTGGTAACTGGCAGCAACGTCAGGCTGCTCACAGCCGCCTGTAACAGTTCCAGGACACCGGATGCCCTCTTCTGGCCTCTGGATGCTGCAGGCATATAGTAGCTGTGCACATAGACATAAGTAAAAATTAAATGTGAAACGATAGTTATTGATGAGCCTTAAAGTTAGTAGAATTTGGATGCGAATGAAGGTGCATTCATTAAACTTTATTTCTCCTATACACCTGTTACAGTGTTAGGGCCTGGGGAAGGAGCCCTGTGATGGAATTAGAGAAGCCCTGCCTTTGGGGAATTTACAGCTGTGTGGCAGGGTATGCTGGCTAAGTAGGCTTTTAAGTTGGGCAATGTTTCTTTCCTTTACTTGCCTTTTTTTCTTCCTTTTTCTTTGTTTGTTTGGCTGGTTTTTTGTTTGTTCTTGTACCTATTTTCCACTGTGGTTATTGTACATGTCACCATTTATAACATTTACCTTCAGAGGTGAGAAATAGAAAACTCTCAGATTCTGTCTGAGTCCTGTCTCAGTGAGATTGTTTAATGCGATTTAGACCTCCCTTTCTCTACAACAGTCTTTTTCCTCTGGCCTCCTTCTATTCAGGGCACCAGAACAAGCACCTCTGAAAAGCAAAATGATCTACGCAAGCTCGAAGGACGCCATCAAGAAGAAATTTCCAGGTACAAGCTAGACTTGGCTCTGAAATTTTTATGGATATAGGGAGTCCCCAGAATTGGGACTGGAATGTCTCTAAAACCCACCTTTTTGTTTTTTGTTTTTTTGAGAGTGTTGGCAACAAAGGAAGAGGTGCCCTCTGAGCATCTTCTGTCTTAAATTGGTCACAGTACATCTGCTGGCCCATGTCCATTACTGTACAGCTAGTTTTTCACATAACAGGTGGGGATCAGTTGGTTTGTTATTCATTGTTTTTAAATGTAGTCATTGGCAAAGCTGCAGGAAGGAAATGCTCTTAAGTGAGAATCATTCTCTTACCTTTAGCTTTACTGTTGAATGGTGTGCTTTTAGGTTAATTGATTCCTCTGGGTCCAAAGAAAAACACATTCACCTGAGCTGGCCAGTTTACTGACTTGACACTGGGTGGCTGGGGTCCGGATGACGTGGCCTTGGCCAGACTCCAGCCAGAAGATATTGGTATGGTGGAAAAAGCATGGGGTACAAGCCCAGAGGCTTGCACAAGGGCCGAGCTTGCTGTCTAACTGCTTTGTGACCAGAACCAGTAACCTCATGGGCCTCGGTTCTCTCAGCTCTGGGGCAGGAGGCTTGATCTCAGTTTTCTGCCACCTCCCTGCCAGTGTGATCCAAACAGCTGAGGAGCAGAGGTGACAAGGGTTTACCCAGACTTGGTTTTGTTTTTTTGTGACTGGCCTTTGTATTGCTGGAGTAGAACTGGTTCATCTAGCTTGTTTTCATGAGTTACGTAATCGGAATTCCTGCTTCCTTTCCCAAGCCCCGCTGCTGCTCAAGTCAGTGGATTCTTTGTGCATTTGTGTTGGCGTGGGCCCTAGACTACACTCACTAACCTGTCAACCGACACTTCAGATGACTTCTCAGTCTCAGTTTCAGTATTTTGATGAAACCCAAGAGTTAAGAGGAAGGCTACATAGGACTTGGTTTCGGGCTATTCAGTGGGACACACCATGTCACTTTTTGTATGTAATCATCAATGGTTTTCTCAACTTAGTCAGAAGTTCTTTAAAAAACTGATCAGTTTGAGAAATAATCTTCAAATGGTAGACTCAACTGTGCAGCTGTTTAAAACACAGCAGCTGTGTGCAGAGAAACTGCTGTGTGCAAGCCCTCCGGTGAGCAAGTTCTACAGTGCACCGATGGGATTGTCTTAAGGCCCATCACTGCACTGTAATATGCGTGTTGTGTGATGCCATCACAGGGCTATGTTTTCTGTAACACTCTTTTTAGTTCATGCTTGTCTTTTTTCTTTTTGTTAATGAGGCCAGGTGTCTCTGTGTAGCACTGGCTGTCCTGGAACTCTGTAGACCAAGCTGGCCTCAAACTTAGGGGTCTGCCTGTCTCTGTGCGGGGACTTAAGGCGTATGTGGCCACCACCCAGCTTCTACCTTACGTTTAATTATGTGCTTATGTGAGCATCAGCATGTGGATTCATGCATATGTACATGCAGGTACTTTCAGAGTCCAGAAGAGGGTACCAGATCCTGTGGCGCTGGAGTCTCAGGCTGCTTGCACGCCGCACATGGGAGTGCTGGGTCTGGTCTCTGGTCCTCTGCAAGATCAAGAAGCGCTCCTAACCACTGAGCCGTGTCTCCAGCCCCACTTCTTTTAGGAATCGTGAAAAAATTACTAGGCCTACCTTTTTATTAACGTATACCATCCTTCATTAATATAGAACTCTGAATGTTCACAGACTGAACATGATTGTGTTTATCTATTACTAGCCCCACAAACCTTTCCTCAATGCTTACTTTCATCTGTACCAGTCCCTACTGTTTTCTGAACCATGGTTGTAACTGGTTCCTGGACTTCATTACCTGAGGCTGATTTAGAGTAAAAATAAGTGGAATCATAACAGAATGTGTGCTTGTGCTTCTGGTACTTTCAGTTAACATTGTTTGTTGAGGGGTCATTTTTCTTTAATAACTTTTTCTTTTATTTATGTATATGAGTGCTCTATCTGCATGTACACCTGCATGACAGAAGAGGGCGTCAGATCCCAGTATAGATGGCCGTGAGGCGCCATCTGTTTGCTGAGAATTGGGCTGGGGACGTCTGGAAGAACAAAGGGTGCTCTTAACCACTGGCTCCATCGCTCCAGCCCCCGAGGGGTCATTATTTTGATGCATGTGCTTAAACATTATTTCTTCTCACAGTTGGTGTTCCATGCTCTTTAAGACAAGGGTCTTTTAACTGGTTTGCTGCCTTAGAGAAATGAGTAAGTTGCTGCATAATCCTAAATGGACTTTGTTTTTCTCTCTAGGCATAAAACATGAGTATCAAGCAAATGGGCCAGAAGACCTCAATCGGACTTGTATTGCTGAAAAGCTAGGTGGCTCCTTAATTGTAGCTTTTGAAGGATCCCCTGTGTAGATCATCAGTCAGTGCCACAAATTGAAAGCTTCCATGTTTCACACTAGTTCTTTTCACTATATAAATAAAGCAAATAAATATATTAGGCCAGGATCTCACTGAGGGAAATTTGTCTTGTCATCTTTTAGAGTAAACTAAAAATCTTATATGTGTCTGCAAACACCACCCTGCATAAATCTAGCCTCTAAAGTTTTATTGGTTGGAATTAGATTCTTATTGGCCAAATGCCTGTTTTCATGAAGTGACTTGTAAAGATTTTGTTAAGCTCAGGATTTTTGGTAATACAGTTCACAAAATAGTACAAGGCAATGTGAAGAGTACTACTAATCTTTGCTAACCTCAGCAGTTAACTTTTATTTCTTTTGCTTAGAAAGTGATAATCTGTATAATTTTGACCCAGAATATCTATTTTTCCTTGACTTAAACAAAACAATGAGATATGATTTTCTTTATAATGTGTACAACACTAGTATACACTAATAGCAGTAAGACTATGCCAGGCAGTCTTTAATTCTATCAGATGGGTCACGAGAGTGTTTCAGACTTGTGTCTGCTTTAAAGTTCATGCTGATCTTGCAGAGCACAGTCAGCATGGTGCAGGAATGCAGGAAGCAGCCCTGTGCCTGCAGTGCGAGGCTCCCTGGGCTGGCAGACTGCTTAGCGTGACTTTCTGTCTTAGAAATCATGGTACATCCTCAGGAGAATGTTGAGCATCTTGTAACAACTAATTATATTGCAAATTAGGGCTTCATTGTAATTTACTTTCTTAATGAAAAATGATAAAGCAGTGTGTTGATAAGCCAAGGTGCTGTCGATCTTTAGTTTCTTCTTCAAAACTGTGCTGCATCTGGTACAGTAGGATGTGGAGGTGTTGATTACGTTTCCTCTGGGACTCGGTAGGATGTAAATCCCTAGAGCAGTTTACCAGCTGTGTGAGACGGGAAGCAGGTACCATGGATGACACTCCCAGGGGACTGCCCAACAACACTTGGAGGTGATTGTGAACACCGCAGGCGTGACGCCGAGCAATGTAGATGGGCACAAGCAGTTGAACCTAGAAGTAGCAGTGCTGCTTTACGCAATAAAGGAAGCATTTGTAACTTGCCCTTCGTGTGATTATTTGTGTATGAATCGGAAGTAGAAAACTTACCTTCTTTCTCAGTTTGGTTTTTTTATTGCTGTGATAAAGATCATGTCCAAAAGCAACTTGAAGAGGAGAGGGTGTATTTCATCTTAAAATTGCCACAGTCCATCGCTGAGGGACGTCAGAGCACATGGGAGGAGTGCCACATACTGGCTTCCTCAGTTTGTTTTCTTACACACTCTAGGACCTTGAGCCCATGGGTAGCACTGCCAACAGTGGGCTGGGCCTTCTGCATCGATCATCAACTTAAATATTTTCTTAATTGAGCTTCCCTCTTCTCAGATGACTCTAGCTTATGTCAGGTCGACACAAAATGGAACAAGCCAGCCTACCTTCCCTGTGCAGTGAACCCTCCAGGTTTTGGCATTTCTGATAGGATTCAGGTCACGGCACACTCGTCTGCTTAAATGAGAATGCAATTTAAAAAGTTGGACATCCTTTTCTTTTCCTATTCCAAATGTCTATCTGATTTTGCAAGCAAAATGGTAAGTTGCACTTTTATGAAATGGTCTTGAAATGTTGGCCACTTATTCTTCATCCTGAATCTCTATGTAGCCCTTATAGCAGACCCCATAGTCTGTGAGGTCAAGAACAGCCAAGGCGTGTCCCTGGCTTTTTAGAACTGTTTCTGCTTGTGAAATGTGGCTCCACTGACTTTACCACAGTTGTGTGCTTCAGAAGGTCAGGGATACAGGTTTAAGAGAGGGTGCCGCAGGAAGGGCTTTAGGCAGTCTGTAAGTGAACACCTCTAGAAATGGGGTAGGTCCTAATGGTTCCTGAACTCTGTCTTCTAGAGATGGCTTTTGGCAAGCTTCAGGGGATACCTAGTCTGGACCCCAAGTTGTGTTGTGCTAACAAGTATTTCATTTCAGTTCTATTGCAGTTAAGGTTTACATGTTTGTTGACAAAAGCTGCCAGGTAGATGCTACTTCTGTAATGTTTACAACTCTCAAGGGTTAACATACTAAAATATCTGTGTGGAAGGCCAACTTAGGGTTCAGCTAGTGGGTATAGCTGGTTCCTGAGGAAGATGCCTCTGAGGCCAATGCTGACAGAATTCTGTCAAGACTTGGCCATGAAGTTTGTTCCTTCGAGTATGGCCTTTACTACAGTGCTGCCTAGGTCCTTGACAGCTTCATCCCTGTAGTCTCCTGGAGAAGGAACCTGCCCAAGGACTTGGAGTCATTTTGAAGTAACATTTTAAGGTTTGGGCCATGACTAGAAGGAACACTCAGTCCCTGACAGGAAGGTTCCTGTGAGGGAGGCTTGAGTCACAGTTGGTGGCTGTTCAGCTGGCCAGGCCTTTGGTAGCCAGCACAGAAGCAAGGCAGCTCACCTAACTGGGCAGCCTGGCACCTAACAAGCTCCATGTCATGATTCTGGCCCTGCTGTCCCTGCTACTGTGGTGAGCTCCAGCTTATGCCTTTACCCTTGGAACTGAAAAAAGGTTAGGTTTTGTTAAATGTAGCGGATAGGCTATGAAAAGGGTAAGCAGACCACTCCTTTTCGGCCTCAGAACTCATTAGACCCAACCCTGAAGAGCGCTTGCTCAGTGAGAATGCATTTGTGGAGGTGTCTTTGCCTCCTGTCCACCAAGGCCTTGCTAAGGGGACCCTGTTGTTCCTGTCCTTACTGCACCTTCTTTGTCCAGGCCCCATGAAGTTACCTACAAGCCAGCGTTCTGCCCCTGGGCCAGGCTTTCAATGAGGAACATGAAAGATAACCAGAACAGTATGCCCATCACATCAGTGGTCTGCAGGGCAGAGCTTCCACTCCTGCTGGCCATTGAGGGCATCTGGGAGCCTTGTGGGATCTCCTTTCTGAAGAAAAGCTTTTGGGTAGCCCTGGTACTGGCAGTGGGGCACCCAGGGAGCGCCATACTCCTTTTTCCACCTCCTTCACCAAGTGACTGGCTAGTCCCCTGTGGTGTCTACCTGGTAAGCAAACGGCAACTGCCAGGAGTCCCAAGTTGTTGGATCCTTGTTTAGGAACAGCTGGGCTCCTTACTACCTGGCAAACTCAGGCCCCCCCCTGCTGGCCTGAGGTGCTGCTGCTGGGTAGCTTGGGAGGACTGATGGGCCCTTTGCACCAGATGTTGGTGCCAGGCCAGCCCCCACAGGCTGTCTCAGGAAGGCATGGCTCCCACTGGTGGCCTGAGGAGAGCAGCTGGTGAGCAGCAGCTGTTGCATCTTGGAACGCAGAGTCTGTAACTGGGTAACCCCAGTGTCTTGCCACCTTTTCCCAGTCTCCTCTTTTCTCTCAAAATGAGTGTAGTCCCCATTCCTGTACCATCAGAGGACATCTCCCTAGGGTGCTGTTAGCACCCTCCCCCACTCCTGTACCTAAGGCCATCAGAAAACACATTTACATTGTGATTTATAACTACCAAAATGACAGTTACGAAGCAGCAACGGAAATAATCCTATAGTTGGGGGGTCACCACAGCATGCGCTGTATTATAGGGTCGCAGCGTTAGGAAGGCAACACTGACAGAAAAGTTCCTGGGAGAGGCACCCACAGGCACACCTCTTCCTGTTACTTCCTCCAACTCAGTCGCTAAAGTCTCGACTTTCAGAGGCCCCTCTTCCCCCTGGCCTCTGAAGGTTCTGGAACACGTTATCAGTTGTTCCTTGCTTAAAAATTCCTACCGCCACGTGCTGCCCAGCCTCACGACATTAATACCTTCTCAGCCTTCTCTTCCCACCGCCCCTCGCCTGCAACCAGCTGCTGCCTCGCAGGGCACCCTTGTTCATTAACACGGAAGAGGCACCTGCCTTGGTGGCCCATAGGTGCCTCCTGAGCCAGGGCTAGAGTGCTAGGCCATGTCTCAGGTAGTGTCAACCCTTGGCAGTATGCGGTGGGAGGAGGATAAAGCAGCCGAGGACACAAACACACTGATGCTTCCCAAAGATTCCCGTCACAACCAGCTGCAGTGCCACCCACTATTCCAGGACCATGTGATGCAAAGCGCAGAGCAGTGTGGAAATTGCACTCTGTAGTTACCTTACAGGACTAGCAGCCAAGTCAGCTGTCCGCCAGCCACGTTCAGCCAGTCAGCCCTCTCAGGATTTAGAGGTGACAGGTTAGGGATGCGAACACTGCCTGCTTGAAGAGCTTGACAGCACTGGATGAAGCCTGGCCCAGGAACCTGGAGCTGCTGGGAGCCACTTTCCTGGTGAGCACTTTTCATGTAAGCCCCAGGTTCCCTCTGTGCAGAAGCCCACACAGCAGGATTCCCCTGGATCAAATTATCAAACCGCCAAGAGCACCTAGCTCTGAGGCTATGCAAGTCTAAAGCTGCTTCTGCGTGTGGGCAGCCAGCCCCACTGAGGACAACCTCATATCCAGGCCCCTGCCCTGGCCTGCCAGGGAGCACTGGAACTTAGGAAATGACTGGAGGGGGTGGGGCAGGCACAAAGCAGAGAACTCCACGCTATCCCTGCAGGATCCCAGCCTTCACAGACACTCATCTGTCTCAGGGGACAGCCACTCTTGGCTCCTCCTTGGACTCAGCAGCTAGATGGGGAAGGCCAGCAGAAGATCAAACGAGACCTCGGTGCCGGGCAACACGTTGGTTTTAATGGCATTGACATCCAGGCAGTCACATGTCAGTTCTGCTTGGCAACTTCCAGGGGTGAGGGGCTGCACCTTGCTGGGCTGGGCCAAGGCCCTCCAGTCTGCTCAGCAGCCTCTGAGAACTCACCACCTGGCCTGTTGCTTCCCGACCCGGCCCCACTGAGAAATACAGACAATTGCACTGATTGACATAAATCCCGAGCATCCTGGACTCCCAGCACACCCTGGTCTGTCAGCATTGATGAGGGCTTTGGCGTCTGTTCGAGGTGGTCCAGGGCTGCTCCCGGGAATAGTGTTTATCAAATGTGACAACAGTTTTAACGGTTCTTTTACAGACTGGGGGTCTGGAAGATTTATTTCTGTGGTTCTGAGACTTGTCTCCAATGGCTTCACTGGAAGTTGGGCCTGGATAACGCTGTGTTGGTTGGTTTATTTGTAAGGAATGTGTAAGGCATTTTGGTAAGTTGAACAGTTTGCCGAGGAGACTCAGACAGAGGTTCCCTCCTTTGAGCTGCAACCATCCTCCTGCGAACAAAGTGGACACGTGAAGGAAAGGCCAGGCCACGAGTCCAGGCACCCCACTTGCCCTGTGCCCAGGACCCACAAAGCCTTCCCTGAGACAGCTCCACAGGGACCTCCAGGTACTTCAGAGAAAGCAAAACTATCAGCCTGAAGGCCCAGAGCATGTACTCCAGGGGGGTACATGCACAGGAATGGGGACCCTAGGATGAGGGGAATGTGAGGGAGTGAGTGTGGGCTGAGACCTGTGGTCCTCCAGGCAAGGGGCTCCAGTCAGGCTGCAGTGCAGGTGTCGGCTATCCCCAGCGTCCTGCTTCCCAGGGCCCTCAAGAGCATAGACCTACTGCTGGAGGCCCGAGGCTAGCCCTGCAGTCCAGCCTGTGCTGAGCACTTACTGCTTTTTCCAGCTGTTCTTGCAGCTTCTTCACTGTGTCCTTCTCTTTCATCAGCTGCTCCTGGGTTGTCTTCAAGAGCTCCTGGAGTTTGGTGGCAGCACGTCCCAGGTCACTTGTTAACCTCTTCTCTTTTTCTAGTCTCTCCTGTGGGCCACAGGGGTGAAGGTACTCAGCCCTCTTCCTCATATGTCAGAAGGAAGAGCTAGCTCGGAGCACAGCCATGAACACAGGAAGCCAGTGCTGGCTGGGAGAAAGCTTTTGCTGATAATTCTGCCTGTGTCTTGTCAACTTCTGCTGCTGCCGGACAGCATCCTGGCCTGACGGTTTACTGTGCACTGCCCAGTGTGAAGGCCACTACATGAGTATCTGCCACATGACTTTCAGCTTTAAAGAGCTTACATTTAACTGATGACACCAACCTGTACCAGATGTGACTCAGTGCTGTCAAGTGCCCTCCACTAGGTGTGGCA